GGGGGGAGGTTTGTGTGTGTCAGGACAATGGGCAGTGCAGGTTTGTGTGGGGCATTGTGTAGTTGTGGTGGTGGGGCTGTGGGGAAGGGCACTGGGAGGGAGGAAGGAAGGGAGGGAGGTGAAATCTGTGTGTATTGAGAAACGAGCGAGTGGGGGGTTCTGTGTGGGGTGCTGGGCAGCTGTGGTGGGGCTGTGGGCAGGGGGGCACTGGGCGGATGTGTGTGCACAGCACTGTGCATTTGTGGTGGAAAGGTTGTAGGGGGGCTATGCGCATAGTGGAGCCAGGGGGCGCTGGGCAGGATACTTGTGTGGCGCAGCATGGGCCCACCCCCAACAGGAAGGGGCAAGCTGGTAGCACAGGGCCAGGCGGACCAGTGTGTCTCTGGCTCCAGTCAGGGCTGTGCACCTGTGTCTGTCTACTCCTTCCCCCGCCCGCTCGCCAGATGTGTCCTGATATTTCACTCTTGCGATCTGGTCACCCTACCCATCCTTGGTTCTGCCTTACTACAGCTAGTATTGGGTTAGAAGCTGTATCAGTGTATAACAGAAATGGTTTTTCTAAGTCATGTTCAATAAAATGATTGAACTTCTTTACAAACTCAAGGTAAGACTTGGTTAGAACAATAGTGGATTGGATCTGCTCTTGCAGCATGGTTCCTGTATGACTCATGTGATCTTGCCAAGAGCTAAAGAACATAGCTACTTTATCCATACAAGCTTACAAGAAGTGAAAGCTTACAAGAAGTGGAAATTTGGACAGATGACTAGGGAGGAGTATAAAAATATTGCTCAAGCATGCAGGGGTGTAATCAGGAAGGCCAAGGCACAATTGGAGTTGCAGCTAGCAAGGGATGTAAAGGGTAACAAGAAGGGGTTCTACAGGTATGTTAGCAACAAGAAGAAGGTCAGGGAAAGTGTGGGTCCCTTACTGAATGAGAGAGGCAACATAGTGACAGATGATGTGAAAAAACCTGAAGTACTCAATGCTTTTTTTTGCCTCGGTCTTCACAGACAAGGTCAGGTCTCAGACTGCTGCACTGGGCAACACAGTATGGGGAGGAGGTGAGCAGCCCTCAGTAGTGAAAGAACTAGTTAAAGACTATTTAGAAAAGCTGAACGTGCACAAGTCCATGGGTCGAGATCTAATGCATGCAAGGGTGCTGAGAGAGTTGGCTGATGTGATTGCAGAGCCATTGGCAATTATCTGTGAAAATTCATGGCAATCAGGGGAGGTCCTGGACAATTGGAAAAAGGCAAATTTAGTGCCCATATTTAAAAAAGTGAAGAAAGAGAACCTGGGGAACTACAGTCCCCAGCAAAATCATGGAGCAGGTCCTCAAGGAATCCATTTTGAAGCACTTGGAGGAGAGGAAGATGATCAGGAACAGTCAACATGGATTCACCAAGGGCAAGCCATGCCTGACCAACCTGATTGCCTTCTATGATGAGATAACTGGCTGTGTGGATATGGGGAAATCGGTGGATGTGATATATCTTGACTTTAGCAAAACTTTTGATATGGTCTCCCACAGTATTCTTGCCAGCAAGTTAAAAAAGTATGGATTGGATGAATGGACTATAAGGTGGATAGAAAGCTGGCTAGATTGTTGGGCTCAATGGATAGTGATCAACGTCTCGATGTCTAGTTGGCAGCCGGTATCAAGCGGAGAGCCCCACGGGTCGGTCCTGGGGCCGGTTTTGTTCAACATCTTTATTAATGATCTGGATGATTGGATTAATTGCACCCTCAGCAAATTTGCAGATGACACTAAGCTGGGGGGAGAGGTAGATATGCTGGAGGGTAGGGATAGGGTCCAGAGTGACCTAGAGAAATCAGAGGATTGGGCCAAAAGAAATCTGATGAGGTTCAACAAGGACAAGTGCAGAGTCCTGCACTTAGGAAGAAAGAATCCCATGCACCGGTCTGCAGGCTGGGGACCGACTGGCTAAGCAACAGTTCTGCAGAAATGGACCTGGGAATTAAAGTGGATGAGAAGCTGGATATGAGTCAGCAGTGTGCCCTTGTTGCCAAGAAGGCCAACGGAATATTGGGCTATATTAGTAGGAGCATAGCCAGCAGATCGAGGGAAGTGATTATTCCTGTCTATTCGACACTGGTGAGGCCACATCTGGAGTATTGTGTCCAGTTTTGGTCCCCCCACTACAGAAAGGATGTGGACGAATTGGAGAGAGTCCAGCAGAGGGCAATGAAAATGATTAGGGAGCTGGGGCATATGACTTATGAGGAGAGGCTCAGGGAACTGGGGTTATTTAGTCTGCAGAAGAGAAGAGTGAGGGGGGATTTGATAGCCTTCAACTATCTGAAGGGGGGTTCTAAAGAGGACAGAACTAGGCTGTTCTCAGTGGTGGCAGAGGACAGAACAAGAAGCAAGGGTCTCAAGTTGCAGTGGGAGAGGTCTAAGTTGGATATTAGGAAACACTATTTCACTAGGAGGGTGGTGAAGCACTGGAATGGGTTACCTAGGGAGGTGGTGGAATCTCCATCCTTAGAGGTTTTTAAGGCCCGGCTTGACAAAGCCTTGGCTGGGATGATTTAGTTAGTGTTGGTCCTGCTTTGACCAGGGGATTGAACTACATGACCTCCTGAGATCTCTTCCAACCCTAATATCCTATGGTTCTATGATAAGCTCTGGCAAATGTTTGGAACCCAATTAATATCAAGACAATGTAGATATTAATATTGTGCATAGTATAGAAATCTTGGCATTTAGTGGTAAAAGCAATATGGTAGTGTGCCTCAGTTTCCCTTTTCATACAGCACAGTGGTTTGAGGCAGTCCAGTTTACTCTCTTATAATACAAGAACAATGGGACATTCAATGAAATGAAAAGGCAACAGATTTAACACGGATCAAAAGGAAATACTTCTTTACACACCATGTAATTAGCCTGTGAAATTTACTACTACATATTGCTAAGACTGAGAGCAGAATTTTTAAAAGTGTTGTCATTTACATTAATAGGAATATTTGGACCCAGTAATAATTTTTTTTCTGAGCATATTAGGAGGAGGAAAAATCCAGTTATAATGGGAATGTAGTTACCCCCTTAACTGTGGTGTGGGTACTGCCTTGCCATATTTAGCCTGGGTACATCCAGCTAGGATTGCTGTTGGTGTCTGTCACTCGTGGCTATGTGCAGGCTTGCCCATGTAGAAGGTGAAGCTATGTGAGTGGGGTACTAGTTTGTACCTTCGTTCTGAATCTCTTGCCGACTGGCATCAGCTGCACCTCCTCTAGCTAGGCCAAGCAAGCTCTACATTCCCTCTGTACGAGCAGAAGTACAGTGTGCCCCCTCATGGTTCATTGGGTGGAAGTGCTGGACACATCTTGTGTCCTGAAGGTCAGGTCAGCAGCGATCTCAGTTTCCAGTTAACAGTCCAGGACTTTTATGGCTTAGGCAGGTCTCATTTGCGAATGGTGTTTTCCTTTTTAGGGCCCTAATCGCTTGTCTCAGAGAAGCACTACGTATGCAGAGCTGATTATCCTGCAAACAGTTTTATATATTAATATTTATACAGATGCATGGGCGTCCTGGGGATTCTTAAAATCAAAAGGCTCACAGCTCCTATACAGCCTCTTTAATTAACTTAATGCAGACATTAGTGTGACACAGGGAATGTCTCTCAAGGGGGGAGTTTTTCATTTATCGCTACTTAGCCAAGGCATTTTATACTTTTAATTTCCATCCAGTAAATCCTGATTTATGGAGTGAAAACTAGCCTTTTGCTTTCACAGTCAACAGTTTGCCTGCCCGGGAGAGATGACAATCCCCAGGCAGAGCGGTCGGAATATCTCAGAGCTGTGCCCAACTCACTCTTGCCTCTGCCCCAAAGAAGCCCAGCACCAGCTGGTGCCACCCCCTGAAGCCAACCTCTGCCCGCAGAGCCTGCCTGCCATGAGATGCTTCCTGAGGCACTCGCTTGCTGCTGCCTGGGTAGTGCCCAGCTGTTTAGAGGTGGCCTGACTCAGAGACCAGGGCAGGGAGAGCTGCTGGGCAGAGAACTAGGGGCCCGAACGAGCCAAGCGGCTCCCACCACCTTCCGATCAGCTGTCTTCTAGCAGGAGGCAGGGCTGGCTCCAGGGTTTTGGCTGCCCCAAGCAGCCTCAGAAAAAAAAAAAGCAGCCGCGATCGCGATCTGCGGCGGCAATTTGGCGGAAGGTCCTTCACTCCGAGCAGGAGTGAGGGACCATCCGCCGAATTGCCACTGAATAGCAGGACGTGCCGCCCCTCTCCGAAGTGGCCGCCCCAAGCACCTGCTTGGCAAGCTGGTGCCTGGAGCCGGCCCTGGCAGGAGGTGATGGTTTTCAAACTGGGAAGTGCCCCTTGCAGTTTGGAAACCTCTGTGCTAAATTGAAGGCAGAAATCTGGGGAGGCACGTGACCCCCCCACCGCTCCATTTTCCCATCCCTGCAGCTTTTCACCCTGGCTGCCCTGCTCATCTCACCCTGGTTATGGCTCTGGGCACTGCAACCCCGGAAGCTGCAATACCCAAAGTGGAGAGCCAAGCCCAGCCAGCCCCACAGCACAGGAGCTGCAGGAGCCACCACTGTGGGGTGAGTGCTGGGCAGGATCCTACTTCCCCAGGGGGTAGGAGCCAACCAAAACCACCCCAGGGCCTCCACTCCCTTACTGCATTGTGACAGGCCATAAACATTTATAAATGAGCCCAAAAGAGGTTTAGAACCACTGCTGTAAGGTATTAGACATACAAGAACGGTGCACTTCTCTGCACATGTCTCTAGCCACAGGTGGGGTACAGAAGAATTGTACCTGAAAGAGCCCTCTGCTCATGCTTATCTAATTGCAAAATGTTTCTCAGCATAGAGAGGTTGTGATAGTGCCTTAATTATGTTCCTAGAGTTAGCAGAGCCTGGGCAGTTAGCTTTGAGGTTGGTAGACAGGTACAGAAAACTGCTTGTGTTGCCATTGGCTGTGTGGATCCTGTCCTTGATCATGGTCAGTATCCATCACTCACTGCATTGTCTTTTTTGCCTTTTAGGTGAAAGAATGGTTATGTTTGAATTGCCAGATGCAGAGAGCTTTGGGAATGGACATGATCACCGCACCTCGCTCCAAAAGCCAGCAGCAGCTACATTCCTCTTCACTTTCTCCATCCCACTCTCCAGCCAAACATCCCCAGCCTCCATTCCTGGGAATGACAGGACAGGAGAAACCACCAGGAACTGTGGAGCCAGGCATTAGGCATGGTGCTGGTGTTCTGCAATCAGAGTCACCAAAACCACCCCCAGCTACAGCACAGAGGGAACAACACACCCAAGGCCAGCCAAAACCTGCTGCACCTCAGGAAGTGGGGAGGTCTTCCCCTCAGCATCAAGCAAAGCCTTCCTCCTGTGACCAGAGACAGACTGTGGGAGACTCCCCAGCAAAGACTTCAGCACCCCCCCACAGTGCTGCAGCACAAGAGCAACCCCAAGAGGGTCTCACAGGAAAGCTCTTCGGGTTTGGGGCTTCTCTTTTGACCCAGGCAAGCACACTCATGTCCGTCCAGCCAGAGGCCACCCTGCAAAGTCAGCAGTCCCCTGGCAAAGTGCCTCCAAAAATTCTCTTCAGTGATGCCAGCAAAGAAGCTGGACTCAGAGCCTCAAGTGCTGCATCTGGAGCACAGAGTAGGCCTGGGACTGCCCCAGCTACAAAGCAAGGAAAAGCAGAACAAGTCATCAAGCCAAAGGAAGTGCCGAAGGAAAGGGTCTTGTGCCCCCTTTGCAAATCAGAGATCAATGTGGGCTCCGGGGAACCCTCCAACTATAATACCTGTACGACCTGTAAACAGCAGGTCTGCAACATGTGTGGATTCAACCCAACACCTCATCTTGTGGAGGTAAGGAGGCTGTACACTGGGCTTGCCCATGTAGTAGTTTACTGGGAATCCTGATTCTGTTCTGAGATTCAGATATTAATAACATGGCAAAAGTTGGTGCATTTTCCTTTTAGGTTTTAATAGACTTCTAAAAAAGCCTTGACAAAGTCCCTCTCAAAAGGCTGATTAATTTGCAACAAGTTAGGGTGCTTTAGAAATAAATCACACCGCAGTGGTGCATTACCCCATTGTGTAGACAAGCCCTAGATGTGTACTTGGGCCATGTGTTTGGATCTTGGTTGTGTTGGGATTTTACCATATTTGATTTGGGGTGGCAGGGTAGAGTTGCTGAAAATGGCCTTTGCAGTTTGCTTGGCACGTCCTTGTTTGGCTGCAGCCCTTTAATGGCATCTTTGGGTGTCCAAGAGGATAGAACGTGGCTGCTGCTTGCTGCAAGGGCTTGGAGTCCTCAGGCCCTATGGTTATGGGCAGGAGGAAACAAGGTGAAGGAAGATTTTATGTTAGGCAGGGGCCTGTAGCAAGACATTTGTACTGTCTGTTATTTCTCAGGACAATAGGGTACTGGAAGTGGATCCTGGCTTTGGAGTCATACTGTTCAATGGAAGGCTGGTGGTGAATAAATCAGTAATCATCCATGATTTGATAAGGGATGAGGCTCCTTACTTTGGCTGCCTAATTCTGCAGGACTGGTTTTGGTGCAGTTGGTTCCATCTGGGAACGAGGTACAGTGTGATTTAAAGGGGGATTGTTGGGGAGACGATGTGGCTGTGCTGTATATGTCCAATATAAAATGTAAGAGACATCCTGCTCCCAAACTAGCTCTGATAGAGTGCATCCATTGGGTATGTAGGATAAAGGTCGGGTGGAGTACCATTGCTGGTGTATGGTTCATCATGTTGCACTGCATTATTCCCTGCACGAAGATCCTCACAGGCACAGAGGCCGGTAGTGCTCAATGACTTTAACGTCCATGTGGATCTCAAATTTGCTGGGCTTGCTCAGGGTTTCCTGTTCACTGTAAAGACCAGGGTGGCTGTCCAAGGTGATTGAAAGCTTGGCTCCTACAGGTGGCTGAACTTTGGCTCTGGTGTTTGGTTAGAGTTAGAGTGGGAGATTGACTATTATACCCTTGTCTGTTGCTGTATGATATTAAATCAATTGTTTCTCAAGATTTTAAAGACATCTAATGAGAAAACACTGAAAAACATCCTATTTGTAACCAGTTCTGCTTAAGTACAATGTATAGTTCAGGTATGCCAGATGTATTTTTTTTAATTAAGAATACTGGCATAAAAACAGCAATTTGGAGCCAATTTTCACCATTGGTATAAAACAGTGCAATTCCATTTACTCCAATGAAGTTGCTCCTGCTTATGCCTGTAGTGAATCTGGGTCCTTATTGTTCAGGTCCCAGGTTTTCCTATTGCTAGTGCCACAGGAAGTGGTGCTGCTGATTCAGTAGGTGCCACACTCTTCTCTGAGTTAGTAGTAGAGCAATGCTCTAACTTGATGTTGTGCTGCTGGAGTGTCTGTCATTTTGATGGGATATTAAACCAAAGTCATTTAACATTCCCATGCACTTTGCCCAAAGAGTACTGATGGTAACCCTGCTATCCTGGCCCAATTCCATTATGGGTAAGGCTACAATTTTATCACGGAGGTCACGGAATCCTTGACTTCCAGAGACCTCTGTGACTTCAGCTTGCAGTGGGTGGGAGCTGCAGGGTCCCCCTGCGGTGGCTGGGAGCAGCAGGGTACCACTGCCACCTCCAGTGGCGGGGGCCTCCTGGAGCTCCGAGCCGCCGCAGGCGGTGGGAGTACCCCATAGCTCTTGGCCACTACAGGCGGGTGGGGGAATCCCAGAGCTCCAAGCCACTGGGGGCGGCAGGGTTACCCTGCAGTTCCCAGCTGCCTGGGGCCACCGGGAACTTTGAGCCGCCGTGAGCAGTGGGGGTACCCCACAGCTGTCGGCTACCCAGGGCCCTGGGAGCTGCAGCGGGGGTACCCTGCAGCTCCCGGCCACCTCAGGCAGTGGAGGTACCTCACAGCTCCTGGCCGCCCAGGGCCCCTGGGCACTCCGAGCCACAGCAGGCGGTGGGGAACCCTGGAGCTCTGAGCCCCCCACAGGTGATTGGGGTCCCTGGAGCTCTAAGCCGGGCCCTGCAGGTGCCCAGCCACTGTGGGTGGTGTGGGGACCCCACAGCTGAGCTCCCCATTTTGTCATGGATATTTTTAGTAAATGTCATGGACAGGTCATGGGCTTCCATTAATTTTTCTTTATTGCCTGTGACCTGTCCAGGCTTTTACTAAAAATATCCATGATAAAATCTTAGCCTTAATAAGAAGACAGTAAATATCTTAATGCCTCCATATAAATCCACGGTACTCTCACACATTGAATACTGTGGGGAGTTCTGGTCACTCCATCTCAAAAAAGATATATTGGAATTGGAAAAGATACAGAAAAGGGCAACAAAATTGACTAAGGGTATGGAACAGCTTCCATATGAGGGGAGATTAAAAAGACTGGGACTGTTCATCTTAGAAAAGAGACAACTAAGGGGTCTTATAGAGGTCTATAAAATCATGAATGGTGTGAAGAAAGTGAATAAGGAAGTGTTATTTAATCCTTCACATAACACAAGAACCAGGGGTCATCCTATGAAATTAATAGGCAGTAGGTTTAAAATAAGCAAAAGGAAGTATTTCTTCACACTACGCACAGTCAATCTGTGGAGCTTGTTGCCAGGGGATGTTGTGAAGGACAAAACTACAACAGGGTTCAAAAAATAACTAGATAAGTTCATGGAGGATAGGTCCATCAATGGCTATTAGCCAGGATGGGCAAGGATACATGTCCACGCTCTGGGTGTCCCTAGCCTCTGATTGCCAGTGAACAATGGGAGTGATCATTTGATGATTACCTGTTCTGTTCGTTCCCTCTGACACGTCTGGCACTGGCCACTGTCGGCAGACAGGATAGTAGGCTAGTTGGACCATTGGTCTGACCCAGCCTGGCCAGGCTTATGAAGTTTGAATGTTGGAAAAGTATCTAACAATAGTCGTCAATGGAAATGGGTTTAAATTAACACAGCTTTAAGGGTTTGTGAATTATGTACTGAGCATGTGCAGGATCTTTTTGCAGAACCACATTATGGGTGAGAATTAGCCTCCACTTACCACTTACTCTTCACTTTGAGAGCTTAAGTGGGACTTGCAGGTAGGTGGTGTCCAGGCCTTGTATGGGGTGAGCCCCAGCACATGTGTTCCCCTAAGGACTGATGAATGGTGTATGTCATTCAGTGTGCATTGTAATGCTCCACACCAGCCAGGAATGCTTTCAGATCTGGCCTATTTTCAGGAAATCCAGAAGCTGAAAAAAGGGATTAACCACTTCCCCTCCTCCTCATCTCACCAACTTGCCCATGGAATTCAGCTCAGGAATAAGAGTTCTGTTCCCACTGATAATACTTTGTACAAACCCCATTTAGTGAAGCCTGGTACCAACCCTTCGATGTAGTTTGTCACTGTGCCTCCGTGGATCACAACTGAGGATACCAAATTCAGGACAAGCTGCTGAGAAATAGGGTAGACACAGCCCAAAACTGGTGGTTATTCTTTCATAAGATGTACCAATCCAGCAACAAAAGTAAACTTCTGTCTCACCACATTGGCTAACAAGAAATGGAGTCTCCTTAGGTATTCCAGTCCTGGATTCAACACCCAGACACTAGACTTAATGATGAGTGGTTATTTAAAACCAATTTCAGCCACATACCCAGGTCAATATATAACTCAGATCTTACCCAATAATTACGCTGTTGTGAACTCTTTAGTAGCTAATATCTAAAAATGTATTTATAAAAAGAAAGAAAGGTGGGAGTTAAAATTGGTTAAAGAAATCAAATGCATACAATACTTGCAAGGTTCTTGGATCAGGCTTAATGCAGTGATGAAATAAACTGCTGTCTTATTAAGACTCTGGTGGCTTCCAAATGATTTGAAAGGTCCTCAGTCCCTTGGTTAGAATGCTCCCATTGGTTCATAATCCAGAGGTTTGAGCAGGAAAGAAGCAAAATGGAGATGTTTCCAGGGCCTTTTATAGCTTCTGCCATGTGGAGGGAAACCCATTGTTTTATTCAAAGCCCTCCACACAGCTTGTGGAAAAATAGAGGTAACAAGATGGAGTTAAGTATCACATGGTCTTGTCACATGCCCTTGCATGATTTGCTGAGTCATAGCAGGGGCCATTACTCATACTCTAGTTCAGGGGTGGATAAACTACGGCCCACGGGCCACATCCGGCCTGCCAGCCTTTTTAAGCCAGCCCTCGAGCTCCTGCTGAGGAGCGGGGTCTGGGGCTTGCCCCGCTCTGGCACTCCGGCACTTCAGCTGCAGTGCAAGGTCGGGAGCCGCTCCCCACGGCTCCCAGAAGCAGCGGCATGGCCCCCCTACAGCTCCTATGTGTAGGGGCAGCCATGGGGCTTCACTCTGCATGCTGCCCCTGCCCCAAGCGCTGCCCCCACAGCTCCCATTGGCCAGGAACCACCTGGCCGTTCCTCCGTGTAGGAGTCGGAGAAGGGACATTCTGTTGCTTCCAGGAGCTGCTTGAGATAAGCGCCTCCTGGAGCCGGCACCCCTGAGCTTCTCCCCACGCCCCAACCCTCTGCCCCACCCCTGATCCCGCTCCTGCCCTCTGAACCCCTTGGTCCCAGCCCAGAGCACCCTCCTACACCACAAACTCCTCATCCCCAGCCCCACCCCAGAGCCTGCACCCCCAGCCAGAGCCCTGACACCCCCACCACATCCCACTCCCCCGCCACAGCCCAAAGCCTGAACTTCTCATTTCTGGCCCCACCCCAGAGCCCACACTCCCAACCAGAGCCCTGACCCCCTCCCACACCCCAACTTTGTGAGCATTCATGGCTCGCCATACAATTTCTATTCCCAGATGTGGCCCTTGGGCCAAAAAGTTTGCCCAGCCCTGCTCTATTTAAAAGGTTCACATGAATGTCCATCAGGTGTGGCTAGGCGTCTTCCATGGACCATTGTGAGTTAAGTGTTCCTTGATGAGCCATTCAACTTGAATAGTCCCTTCACAATGTGCAGACTAAATATCTTGTGGCTGCTATCACAGGAGCAAACATTTGAAATACAGGTACATAGTTAATATTCATGACTTCAGATACAAAAACAATGCATGCATACAAATAGGATAATCATATTCAGCAATCCACAGCTTTTCCATTGACACCTTACTTGACATACTTTGTACAAGATTTGTTGCAATTATATAACAGTGGTAGCAACAATGTAGATTCTACATGGTCATATTTTAATCAGATAATGTCACATAGGTCACCTGGGATCACCTCCAGTTTCAGATGGAGTAACTGAGGCACAGAGATCAAGTCCCACATTTTCAAAGGTGTCCACTGACTAGGGCTGTCCCAGTTCTGGTGTACCCAGCTTTAGACTTCTTAGGCCAAATTCATCCTTGATGTAATCCCACCGGAGCCAGTGGAGTTACACCAGGGATGAATTTGGCCAGTGGATCCTAATTTTCAATGATTCCTGTTATCCGTAGCTCCCATTGACTTCTGATTAGAGGAGAGAGTCCCTCTGTGTATGGTACTGAGGAAATGTAGAGTGCTGCATAAATAGCAAGGAGGGAGAGCAGATTTTCTGAGGCTGCTCTAAAGGGTTAGAACTAGGAGAACCTGGATGGGAGTGAGCAAAGGCAATAAAAACATTCCCTGATGCTGAGGTCTATTATGTCTGCCGAAGGAAGTAACAGGAGCCCTGCCCTGTTGCTTGGCTCAGAGCACCAGAGTTTATGTGGGGGTGAGCAATCCTGTACTGGCTGAGAAAGTACAAATTAAGTGGCTTGCACAGAGTCACGTAGGACGTTTGCAGTAAAAGTGGGAGCGGAACACTCCCAGCTCTCTGATGTGCTAAAGTTGTTTTTTCTCCACTAGACCTCCATGTTCTCAGGCAAATTTCCTCAACTCTCCATAGCGTAGCTATGCCATCAGTAGAAGGGGCTGCTCATGCATACCTGGTTTTGCAGAGCACTTTGTGGTGATCTGTAGTGCAGTGTAAGCATCAAGCATTATTTTTAATCCCATGTTACAGAGCACCAGTAAGTGAGGTCTCTCTATGAGTCAGGCTGGCTCTGCAAGGGGCTCAGAAACAGGCTACTGGCCCCTTTCCCCAAGATGACTCTGCTGGGGGCTTGGGACTAGGTTGCATCTCCCTCTCCCAGAGCTGCTCTGGGTTTGCCAGGGAACTCAGTATTGGACTGCAGCTTTCTCTTTTTGAGCTGGGCTGACTCTGCAGTGCTAACAGCAGTGAAAGCTTATTTTAGACACTGAGGTCAGCAGATGGGACTCTGAATATGCCAGGGAGCTAATCTGTGAAGGAAGTTGAGGCCATTTCAGACTGTTAAAGGATAATAAATACATTCCTAATGGATGTTATATTTTTGCATTCTGGTTGGTTGAGCATACAGTACATGACAGATTTTCAACTATTTGGACACATGATCAAAATCATGAAGGTTGATTGGTCAAAATGACATGGAACTTTGTGAAGCAGAAGATTCCAGGAGACATTGCCATGTAACAATCACTGCCAAAAACAGCCAAAAGAAAATACAAACTGAAATGAAGGGAATTTGCTACATCCGTGAAGTTGAAGGTACATGAGGATGGGAACTGGATGTGACAACCAGGGTCCTAACCAGAGGCAATGCTGAAGTCCATCTCGAAGAGGCATTGAACTCCAGTCTACAATTTACCTGCTACTGTCACTGGTGTAAAGGAAAGTGATAGCTGCACTGTGAGGTGGAGAGTCTCCATCAGATGTTGATGTACACCTCTACCTCGTTATAACGCGACCCGATATAACACGAATTTGGATATAACGTGGTAAAGCAGTGCTCCGGGAGGGTGGGGTTGCGCACTCCGGTGGATGAAAGCAAGTTCAATATAACACGGTTTCACCTTTAACACGGTAAGATTTTTTGGCTCCCGAGGACAGCATTATATCGGGGTAGAGGTGTAGTTGGAATCATTCTTTAATGCTGTTCACTAGTGACAGTCCTATGTAGATTTCACTTAGCATGGCGCCCTTTCCTCACCCTTATCAATTCCCTATTAGTACAAGCCACCAGATTACCCTGTCCTTGCTGGGAGGTACTGCCTAAAGGAACCTGTCTCTGGAGGTTAAAGCAACGGGGCCAAATCCCAGCCCTGGCTCAGAGCCCAGCCAGAGCACTGTCACTCAGCTGGGCTCCACAG